TTTGCAGTTTGTATTTTGTTATGCAATCTGTTTTTGTCCTTGTCATGCCACACTAATGTGGTATCGTCAGCAAATAAGGTAAAGCTTCCTGTAATTGATATGTTGGTCAAATCATTAATGTATAACAAAAACAGTATAGGACCTAACACAGAGCCTTGACGTACTCCACATTTTATCTCTACAACGTCCGACTTAAATGACGTTCTTACAAAATGTTTTCTGTCAGAAAGGTATGAATTTGGAAAGAAACTGAATTAGAAATTATATTTATAAAGCTAGGAGTGATACCAAAAATAGGTGTTATTGATAATGTCAAAGAATATAATATGTGGTGTTGTTTTTAATGTTTGATTATATTGTGGACTGTATAAGTTATTTATATGACTGTAGATGAAATCAAACGTTAAGGATATGATGAAAAATGAGAAAAAAAACCACTTGTGATATTACTGCAGTTACTTACGTTACTACAATTTCATCCTGTAAGGACATTTTCAAACGAATGTATTCGTTTGAAAAATGTTCTTTTAGGACGAAACTGCAAGTATGTACAATGTACATATGTATATTAAAATAAAACTATTGAAATATTAATCCAGTTATCCGGACACCTCGCTAATCCGGCGCTGCTTGGAACGATATGTGTCCGGATTATCGAAGTTGTACTGTACAAGCAAAAATAGAACAATTGAACAAAAAATAAAGAAGTAAAAAAGTTAAGAGACTCCAAGCCAAGTTAATTCACGACGTTTCGATTGTTAGTATCCACAATCGTCTTCGGGTAATGTCTGGACTGATTCCTCCGAGAGATGACTATTTATGGGTCATTCGAGTAGTTTCACTTATCCCCACTTTCCATTTTCCGCTTCATTGGTTTAGTGGGAGATGACCGTTTGGCGGGGGTTGGCCATTTTTTGCTTGATTATGGGTTTCCATATGTTGCATTGTGTCAAATATGAAAAGTAATCATGATATAATTCAAATTCATATAAGTAAATACATGAATTGAAAGATATTCCAACCTCACTTCAATATTTTAACACAAGAACACTCAGTATTCAGAATTCCATATTTTAATATTCATAGACATCAAAATTGATCCGATCACAGGATATAGAATATAAAACAATCTCCAAATACGCAAACTTGGCACAGATTGCATGCTGTGCATTTAACCTCAGTACAGTGACCAGATCAAAGTCGCAATGTTAGCGTATAATTCTTTATAAATATTGAGGGAGGTCAGGATCATGAAGAGACAGAATTCATTTGAATACTCAAATTGTTCATCAGCAATGCAGCACATCTCCTTCTCTTCAATCCTGCTGGGTGGCAATATAATGTAAGTTTTTCGTGTTTTAATGTATTTTTCTTATTAACATTTGAGTGTGAGTTTATTTAAAGTATTTTTTCCGTTTCTTTTACAAATGAATATTAAATTAAGTTTTAAATGAGTTCTTTCATTATTTTGGATGAATGAATGAATGGGTGAAACAGCAAATAAAAATCCTCTCGTTAATAGCCAAGAAAGTACTGAGTTGCGACAATATCTCTACGCTAGCTTGGCTGAATACGTTGTTAGATAAAATGTATACGGCTTCTTTGAATATCCTTCTAAACCAATGGTCCTCTCTATGTATGATCTGAGCTTGTGACCACTCGATGTTATGTTGATGGGTCCAAACATGCTCTGCTATTTCTGATTTGCTGGTTTCCCCTCACTGTGTGTGTTTCTTGTGCTTGGCAATGCGAACATTCAACGGCCTCTTAGTTTCACCAATATAGGACTTTCCGCACTCACAGGGTATCTGGTAAATGCAATTCTTGAAATCGCAGTCCGCGTTTGGTGGACTGATTTTCTTGAGGCTGCTACGGATAGTGTTTCAGGATCTGAAGCAGGTTCTGATGTTGTACTTGGAACCAATTCTTTTTATCCTTTCCGATAATCCTCTGATGTGGGGAAGTGCAAGCACTGGTTGTGATGGCTTCTCTTCCTTGCTAGGCTCCTGCTGTCTTCTAGCCAAAGTCTGTTCTACCATCGTTTTGGAATAGCCATTCCGTTGAAGATCATTTTTGATCATGTTTAGTCCCTTATCGAGATCTTCCTTCGTATTACAGAGCCCGAAAGCAAGGTCTAATAGACTCTTGATGATTCCTTTTTTTTTTGCTTAATATAATTGATATTTTCAACTATTCATTTTTATTTCTTCTTTTTTATTAGTCCTTTCAAGGATTTCAAATCATTTTATATAATATCAGACAATGGAAGTCTGAACTAATGAAATTCATCATGAAACATTGTCAATCACCTTCAAACTTCTATTGTCTATTGGCTAAAGATGGAACAAACTACCACTATTAACAAACTAAGCAGATACAAATACTTTCATGTCTGGGAATAACAGGAGCAATGAAAACTACATGTTCGACACAATTTACGCGGTTAAAGTCTTAGAACGTGAAGCGCAGTGAATGAACAGTCATCCCAAAAACACGATTGATAAAAACACCTGGTATACAGAAGGTTTGAAAAAACAAAATCGGTCGCTAGCTGGAATATACCGTGCAGGAATAAATCTTCATTTCAGTTAACGCTTGTCCAGTACACAACAGTCTTCAAGACTGAAATGTATGCAATCTTGCAATGTGCAAGGAACAATAATTTGAGGGCTCAACAAAATGATTGAAATCAATATTTTCACAGACAGTCAGACTGCACTAGGTGCACAGACAAATCCAAAAGTGATATCGAAACTGATCTGGGAATGCTGTGAGGAATTCAGGAAACTGGCGAACAGAAATATATCGACTATATACTGGGTTCCAGGACACTTAGGTATTTTGGGTAACAAAAAAGCTAACCAGTATCCTAGAAGAGAAACGAGAACTGATTCAACAAAGCAGGGATCGGCTAAGAAGAATTACAGGGCTACTCACTGGACACTGTTCATTAATGGGACACCTGAACAAAGTAGGGCTGTACAACAGATACCTTAGCTGCAGGCAATGTAACAAAAGGACAGAGAGAGCTTGTCATATTTTATGCAAATGTGAGGCTTTGGATCACAAGAAGCAAACAATATATGGACAACTTAAACTGTGTCAAGAAGAATATAACATACGTCCAGATCAAAGATGGCTGATAGGAGTAGTAGCTCGTCGGCTAGTGCTCTGTGTAAAAAGTGTAAATCCAAAGTAGTTACTGGCTATAAAAGTACAATTTGTGGAAGTTTCTATCATATTAGTTGTGCAAAATATAGTAATGCAAAAATTATCGATGATACACAAATGATTTGCTGTGAAAAAGATGAAATTGTGGCTGAAACTGAAAGTGATAGTGCCCTATATGATGTCATGGGCAGCATTGCTGATACCGACAAAAAGGTAGACATAAACATTTTCAAATATATTTTGAAGCAAAAAGACATCATCATTGATGAACTTCGAGATAAGATCAATATTTTGAATAAACAAGTAGAATTGTGAAATCAAACGCACAACAAAAATATCTTAATCGCCGAATCAGATAGTTTTCTACAAAAAGTTAAGCCTACAAAACATATTGGCCATGAAAAAGTGCAAGCAAAGAAAAGTCTGAATAGTGAACAAAATATATATGACTCACATATCGTAAAAGTAAATGAAACGGTATCCCAAACACTATTGGAATCCCAAAACANTTCGTCGAATGACTTGTCACGAGCAATAGCCCAGGTTGAAACAGAACAACTAATGAATGATTGTATCAATATCAATGAGGAGGATGAGATTTTCACTTCTCAATCCCAAGGAGCCTGGAAAGAAGTTGCGAAAAAACGAAAAAGGTCACTTGTCATTGAAAATAATAAAGAAACTGGATCTGTGAAAGTAGTGCCAAAACATGTTTCTCTGCATGTGTACAGATTGGATCCCCAAACAACAGTCAATGAGTTACAACAGTCACTTGTTGGAAGTTTCCCGGAGGTAAATTGTGAAGCGTTGAATTCAAAATTTCCGTCTATTTATTTCTCATTCAAGGTAACTTTTTATGAGGATAATTTTAAGAAAGTGATGGACCCGGAGGAGTGGCCTTATGGTGCATGCGTTAACCGTTTTTTAGTGAAACACAAAATGAACCGCCCAATTCCATAATTTTCAAGCCTGACTCACTTACGTTAAACGTTAATACCTTGACAACTGATAAAATCAACTAACTTTTGAGTGATACAAGTGATTTGGAAACATGAAAATTTTTATGCTAAGTTGAAACTGGACTAAAAGATAATGCAATGAACTCAATCCATTGTACTAACTATGATTAGATTTCTTTCTACTGTAGAACAAAAAAACAATGTGGTGCTGTTGGCATATGGGCAAGAAATGACATCCAAATACAACCAATTGATTTATATGATTTCTGTAATGAACAGAATTTTGAAGTATGTGCGGCATCTTTCAAATCAAGGGAAATGACAAATATAATTCTGAATTGCTAGGGATCTCCCTGTGGAGACGTTCAATTCTTTCTCAACAATATTTATGACGTGTTGTATCATCTTTATAAACCTAATCTAAATTTCATCATATGCGGGGATTTCAATCTTGACATACACAAGAATATATTATTTAATTCATTATGTGAAATACTATTATCATGTTTTGATTTGCGCCCGATGGTGAGGTGGCCGACTAGGGTGACAGACACTACATCTACAACAACAGATCAAATTTTTATAAATTTTGATAACAAAGGGCTATGCTGTGTTTTCGATAATGAAATATCCGATCATAGAACCGTGTTTCTTGAAATGGATTTATTCTCTAAAATGAATGTTCCTACAAAAACTGAGATTGAGAGAAGTTTTGATAAGAAAAGTATACATGAATTTCATAATGCAGTAGAAAGAGAGAATTGAAAAACATTTCAGAATATAGAAGATCTGAATGAAGCTTTTCTTAATTTTTATCGATTGTTTTTATATCATAGCCTTATAAAGTACTATTCCCGAGCAGGAAGGACTGGATCCTCCAGGAGAAGGAATATTAAGAGCAGATAGTTGTTGGTTCACAGTTGGATAAATCCAACCTCACACACAAGTCAATGAAAATATTCTTCATTGGACCAGAACCTCTCATTGGCATCACTCTAGGCTTTGCCAAACAAACTTTGAACACCTGGATGGCAAGAAGATTTATGGACTTCTGGCAGAATCTTCCACGATTGGCTCACTCCAAGGCGTTTATTCACCCTTCGAAACTTGATACCAAACAGATGCTGGACGTCAGTTGGGATGAACTACGATGTCTAACAGGCCTTCTTACAGGTCACTCTCATTTGAATCATCATAGAGACTTGGACTATCGGAAGACAGTGTGTATCGCCTCTGTTTGGAAAATGATGAAACAGCAGAGCATATCCTTTGTGCCTGCCCCGCTGGGGATCGAATTAGGTTCTTAGAGTTCGGTAGAGCCGTACTCTTACCATCTGACCCGAAAGACCACTTACGTTACAAACGAATCGGCTTCGTTAACAAGCTGGGTTTGTTCGGCCGAGTGTGAATAGGTATGAGCCACAATAAACCCTTAAGGGTTGCGGTGGAGGGTCGAATAGACCCACTCACTTCAGACCTAACCTAACCTAACCTACATATTTGTTACAAATTGGAATGATTCAGGGCTACTTTTAATTACATTTGGTAATTTGTTGAATCGATCAAAACCCTTGAAAAACAAAGAATTCATGGTGGTTTTTGTTCTGTTTATATATAAATTATTATTATTTCGAGTGAAAGACAATGTACTGTTCAAAATAAGATGGTCCTAAATTGTTCAATATTTTGTATACGAAAATCATTATGAAATATAATAGTCTTTTGGAAATGGATTGCCAATTTAAAACATTAAGCATAATAGTAATAGGGGTATCTCTACGTGGTATCTCTACCACGATTCTGAAGTTTTTGGAGTTGAGACAATTTATTCTGATTGAATAGATATAGGATAGAGGAACAATAGTCGAAGTGTGGCTGAACAATTGACTTGTAAACTGTGATACTTGACTCCGTTGAAAGATTATTGGCACTTATAGAGAAAAAGAATAATTTTTTTGAATTTTTTTATGAATATACTCATAATGTTCATCAATCGATATAGTGTTATCCATCAGGAATCCCAGATATTTAGTTGAATTCACTACTTCAATTCTATCATCATCAATGCTGAGGTTAATAATTTTTGAGTATATTTTGAATGAATTTAAATTTGGTGCTGATTATCATCGCTTTTGTTTTCAATACATTCAGCTTCTGTTTATTTATTTTCAAATAATTGTTGTCACTTGCTAGAGTATTACTCATTTTATGTATATCCATTTCAAGGTTCACATCGCTATATGCCATTGGAGTATCATCAGCAAAAAAGTTCATTAATTCACAATTAACAAACAATGGCAAATACCTAAATTATAGTTGAAAAAAAATTATTT